AGCCGTTGTAATAAAAACATGATGAAGCTTAGTTTTGGCTGGTGCCAACTTGTGTTTTGGTTCAATTCATTTGTGTCAAAAACGAAGTTCTTTCTGCTCCCCACACAAAAAGTTAGTATCTTCCGCATGGTTTGCTGACAGACAGGGCCATCCAACCCAACCGCAAAAATAAATATCCACCATGCCCACCAACGTACAAATTTAAATGCGAAATAGTTCACAGGAGGTCTGCATGAGAACTCGGTTTCGAAGGGCAAAACCACGCTACCAAACACCTCTGTATTAGCTGTGCCAGATCTGTCCCTAACCTCTGTTCGGCAGGATAATGTAACGCGGTGAAGTAGTAAAGCTGAAATGGCATACATGGGGGTTTGCCAGGGTAAACTGGGGGTTTAACAGGGTAAACATGTCTGTAAAATATGCTCCGTGCTTCAATTTGTCTCTTTTATTCCCTATGAATTCTTCACTATTGGGTGCATATCAGTCGTGATTGGGCGGCTGGTACATTAATCCAGTTTATGTATGAAGTATATGCAAGTTTGCAGTTGGAAGATTTTGCAGAAGAATTGGTCCACAATTTAAGTCATAGATGGCATATTTAAAGATTGTCGGAAAGCAAGGAACTATGGAGCTGTATGACATTCGTAGCAGACCTAAAAAAGAGGAATTAAATAAATATGAAGACTTGGAAGTCTTGATCAAATTTTGTAATCAGCTCATTTTACCAAAAATCTGTGGAAAGGGGCGCTCAAGTGGTAATATTCAGCTTTTAGATTTCACTTAGAGGGCATTTCAGGAACTTTCACTCCTACATTTGGGAGAGGTGCAATTTAGTGGTCAAGTTTCTTCAGGTAAAAGATATACGTGAAGTAACATTCTTTACCATGCTTTGCTGGCGTTTGTATCAGGCTTTGCTTTCCTGGTGTGCTGTTTGCGTGATGTGACCCAAGCAAATTATATATATATATATATATATATATATACATATATATATATATATATACATTATATATATATATATATCACTTTTTTCATTGTGATGTATTTCAGTTGCCATCCTCAACGGCATGAGCTATGAACACACATAATTGCTATGCAGATCACCTGTTGCGTTTATTTGAAGCAGTCGTACAATACATGGACAACAGGAATATTCATGTCGCTTGACACCACTGCTGATCAGGCAGGGTTTTGGTATTGATATAGATAACTCAGTGACAGTTCTGGAAATGTTCATGCCGTTGTCGAATCCGAATAAGCGAACTGGGTAGACGTTATGTCCGTAAGTAGGTAGGCATATCATCAGTGATGTTTGCGAGGGCAGCGTCCGATGGCACTCCTGAGGCTGTAATAGGCTCCCACAGCTTTGTAACCACCGCAGGGGCAATAGTTGTAACCACCAATGCGGGGACCACCGTACGGGCACCGGCTTCTGACACCGGAGTACGAGTTTGAATAGCCAAAGCTTCCGCGATAAGGACCGTAGTTGTTGTATCTTCTGGAAAGACCGAACAGACCTCCGTAGGCTGCATTATGCTTTCCTTGCCAGCCTCCATCTGCGGCGGCCAACGCCACCAGGCAGAGCAGGATCGTAAGCTGCAATCAGAAGTGCAGCTCCATGTTAAACGCGGTCAGGTCACGAACGGTTACAGCCAGTGTGTTCACCATAGCTCCTCGGTTGACATCATGCCTTTTGAAGTCAAGACCAACGGCAGTAACGCTTGATCATCAGACGGCATCACGTGAGCGCATACCCAAGAGGGTTGCTTTGGGATGACAATTGAAAAATGACAGGTTTACGCATTCTCTGGCGATTTAACAGCGCTCATTACATGTAATAGTTCGCTGGATGCGAAGCGGCAGCATTTGCAAAGATGCTCTATCAAAGCGTACCTTCATGTTGCGAGGTCGTTGGGTGTGCTTCTTCGCCGAGCTGTCACTGCTAAGTAACTTGCTCACACTCTGCACCTGGCCACTTATATACCGGTTCGGCGGAACTGTTTGCTTGTGGGAACCATGTGTTACCTAATATTTCGTCTGACACGGTTAGTCGTGTTCCATTTTGCAGCGATTTCTACGCATTTCTGGATCTGCCTGGGCTTGTTGTAAGCATGTTTTTGTACATAACTCCCACGAGCTTGCGTAATGGTGTCGCTTATATCGACTTCGATCATCAACAGAGCTTTCAGCGGTGACTTTGCTCTGCCTGAGATTCAACACCTGTTGAATTGACGGTCATAAAAAAGCGGCATCGTGGGTGCTTCCTGCTATTAACTAGTGGCGTGATTGAACTTTTTTTAAATACTGTTCATGATTGATCAGGCATGGGGTGTCAACGAGGGCTGTGCATCAATGTGGTATGATATATTTCAACTTAACCTTTTTAAACTCCATGAAGGATTATTTTTTTAAAGTTGGCGTTTCGTTCAATAAGTCCCGGAAGTTTGTGGTCGTTCATCGGAGATTCAGCGAGGATCGACTGTCCCTTAGATTTTTGTTGCATTCAGCATAGTAATGGAGTAAACGGTGCTTAGCACAAACGTATTCTTGTGCGCATGGCACATTACGCCTTACAACGTAATACGCACTACTCCCAAAGCCATATACTCCACGTTAACGAAGTGTCCGTTCAAAACTATATCAAGTCTTAAATGTAATAAGCACTTCGGAACTCAGCTTGCGCTTAAGCAAAACGTCAATGCTCCGACACATGGCCCACACAAGCTCACGCTACAAGCACTTGTGAGCAGAGGTCAATTGCAGGCTCTGAGTGCCTTCTGATTGGATGCGCTGCTGTAACGTGTTTCCATTCACAACTTTGTCACCAAATAGCTCGTAAAAGTGCCCATTTTTGTCAACGGGTTTGACATGATAGACGACACATCTGCGCAAGAACCGTCTCAGAAGTTGCCATTAAAACCAGATACTAAAAAACAGGAAATATTGTATAGAGCCAATCGAAAATAATCATAAACAGAACGTTTATGTGTTTAACCTGGCAGGAGCCAGCCAAAAAGAGACGAAGATGTGCTACTGGTTGTCCTCCTGGAGGTCCTTACCGGATATTAACAAATGTTTGGGGATATGCGCCACCGTCTAGAATGGTCGTGAAGATTGAGACAATTGTTGAACCACGTGTTCTCTGTAAGAAAGACAGGGGGATTGCTAAAAAAACATGTCGGACGATTTTACGAGGGGTTACAGTGCAGAATGTTATGTATCTTATCTTTAAGATAGTGCTTGGTGGCTAGGTATGCTAACATATTTCTTTGCACTTAACTTTCGAAACTTTTCAAAAAGATTCGGTGGCATACCTGGGGCAGACGTAACAAACATGATGTCATATCTTGACTACATCCCTTTCAATAGCTTTTGAGTACTTACAGAGCTGTTCCCTGGTACCTGGTGATATTCCGTCACTAACACGCACCCGAGTGGCCGGTTGGATACTCTTCGCTCGGGTGAGCAGATCAATTCGCCCCCCCCCCCCCTCTGAGATCTCAGGAACTATGGGAGATAAAGACACCAAATTTACAGGGTGTGTTGACCTGTACGTAAACTCAGCTAGGTAAAAGTTTGAGGTTCCTACGTCACGACCTCTAGGTCAGATAAGGTCAAACAATGCCAAATTCCAGGTTGGTCCTCAAGGGACCCTTCGAACCTAGGTAGCTGTTTTGAGCAAAATGTCACATCATTATAAGAAAACGTCATCATCTAAGGTAGGTAGCCTTGTTTCACCTTTTGAAGGTCATGGTGACTAAAATCATACAAGACTGCTTTGAGTTTTGCATTTGGATAAGCGACACAGATTACGGTAGGCAGTATGTTCCTAAACATGAAATCTCGACCTGGGTCATTCTAGGTCAAGGCCCTATTCTGGCCTTCAATAGTTCCATGGAGGGCGTGTAATGTGGTTTCTGTTATCAATAAATTCGAAATGAGCATAAGAAACTACCCCATACAGCAAACAAGCAGTACAGTAATAAAGCAGGTTGGTTCTGACCTTGGTCTGACCTTCATACCTGACCCTAGGTCAATTTAATTTGTTCATTCAATTGCTGTGCTGCCGAAGAAAGCATCTCAGAGATGTATGGCTTCGTCTAACACTCCGCTATTAGATGAGATTGAACGATTCCCTAGAAATTGCCTTCGCTGAAACCATGGCTTGATTTTGGTCTGCCATAGGTCAGCGACCTTACAAGGTACATCCAAATTTGTGATATCAGACGATCCACTATTTAATTGTCTACAGATAAGCAAAATTTGGCGCGGCTACACCGCGCCGTTCGGAAACCATTTCGGAAATACCTTCGGAAGGGAGGGGGTCAATGTGACTCCCGCCCGAGCGCCCGTTAAAGGCAATGTTCATATTTAAATATATCGGAACAGGCACCAATGAGCAAACAAGCAGTACAAAACCATGTCCGCTGCTTCTCATCGGTTATTCAGTACATAGACAATGGACCTGATTGCTGGTCCTAATTAGTTCTTTTGACGACATTAAACCCTGCATGCTGATTTTAAACATTGTTTTTCCGACGCAACCCACTGACTTAAGGCTATTTGTCTCGAAGTCATATAAGTCACCCAGGATAGCCTGCATATTTCTGCTCTTATGCTTACTTAAAGTCATACCGCAAGCAAATCAATACTTCATGAGCAGGTCGGTCAAGTACTGCCATCGCTATATGCGTTTTAGTGCGTGATTTCTGGTCTCTTGTCAACATAGTCATGGAATCTTGTGGTCACACGTGTTTAGAGGTGGTGGAGAAATTATTGGATACGAAAGAAATCGAAGGCACTGGACAAGAAACAGGGCATATTGACAGGTCCACTGTGAAGGAAAGAAGACATGTTGCCGGTTAATCTGGGGATATTGTGTCAGAGAACCAATTTTGGCAAGCCTGCAGACATTCCATTATCCAGCCTTAGAGTAAAGCTTATTTTGTAGGTGCCAAATGCGGATGTTGTAACCATGGGTACAAGATTGCATGTGTGCAGTAAATTGCCAAGTTCGCATGCCTGCGTTCCCAATGTTCCATTCCACAAAATGTGGCGGATGTCGGTAGGATCTCATGGGGGGACGGTTGCAGCAAACAACTGAAAGTTCTGAAATAACTTCCGAAAATGCAAATGCATCCGGTTTCCTTATATGCATCACATGTAAGTAACACCAGGGTGCACTTTCATATTCACTTGGGTAGCCCTAGAACCCCAACTTTTAGACGAAAGATGGCTAGGTACTTCTACACAAAGCGTGGGTAACGGCTTTTCTGCTAGAACTCCCAGATTATTTTGAGAAAAAAAACTGTGCGACTGAAGGACGCCTTGCTGGACCTTGAAAATGAAAATGACAAGAATATTAAATTCAAATTCTGGTTCCTCCTGTCTGCTTTGCATCAATCTAAACCAGGTGTTGGCTCTCGATAGATCTCAGCTTAATCATGAGCCGCATGTTGGAATCAAATCTTGGAATCTGAATCTGCATGCAAAGACGCCTGTATGCTCCAGACCGAATTTTTTGTTTTTTGCTGGATCTTCCAATATGATGCCAGTTTTGGACCTTGGATCTTGCTGGGTCTTTTGATACCACGCCTGGTTGTTAGGTTCTTATTGGGTCTGAAACCAGATAGTGGTTCCTGAGAATCTTGATGCGTCAACGAGGGCTGCTGCGTCAATCTTGGGTCATCCTGCCCGGATCAGAGTGCTGGTGTGCGTTAAGAATGATGAAGTGCTTTCCGTGTCAAGGGTGGTGGGGGGGGGGGGGGGGGACCATTGCATGATGTATCTTTCTAGGGGCCTCCAGCTCGGCCGGGGGCCATCCGGGTGCCGACAGAATGTCAGCCGGTGGGCGTAAAGGCCCTTCACGCGCTGGGACATAAAGGCTCTTCAACCCTTGGCCGGAAACAGTAACACGTCCCTGGTTTTCTTCTCACGGGCCCTTGCTCGGATAAAGGTAAGGGGTCTCACTAGTCTTCAAAACAGTTGATCGAAATGAGGTCAAAAACGAAACAAGGCTAGACCACGTTTGCCTGAGAACATCCATCCTTCTGCAGAACCACATCGTGAAATCACTTGCGAAACAAATTACATGAAAGGTTTCGGGCTGCTTCGTTTGTAATCTCAACGGCAAGAACAGCGATGCTATCATTTGTGGGCCTGGACACCATATAATCCGGCGAATGAAGGCGCCTAATAAGACATCTGTAACCGCATCTCTTCCAGCTTCACCATTGCATTTCAGCACCAGTTCGCGGTGCTATACATGCTCATGTGCTCCTATTGTTAATGTAAAAAGCGTGCAAGTAAAATGTCTACCATGGCTGTCTTTTATACGTGAGAATTCATTTTCTCAAACGTTCATCAGACCCGTCATCATTTTTGTCTGTTCGTTGGTCACAGCGTATTGTTTACAGCGCGGCAGCGACGCGCGACCTTCGGAGACTACAACGCCAGGTCTCGGGGTTTTAGTTTCTAAGACTTGCGAGCGCGCATGCTCAAAACCGTGCACATCATTTTGTGAGCAATTCGTTCAGACTAAACACGGATATTCCCGGATGAGGATGGGTCGCCCATGTCTATGCTAATAGTTGTATCCTTACAATCTACACTAAACGTTCACGGTGTATTCAACACCCGTGCATGTCAAAAAACAAAACAAAAAAGCGAAAAAGGTTCTAAGTTCCATTGGTTTAGAAAAAGTTCACTTAGCCGTTTTTAAATGAGTAGCGCTGGCAGTTTATTTCACGCAGTTATTAAACGCCTTCTTTTTGCAGTTAACTGAGTTAAAATCATAACTGCGTCTTCAGATACCTTCTCTACCTCCTGAGACTGATGTTATAAAAAGAAAGCCACTGTTGGCAAAAAATAAGCCATCGAAAAAATACGGCACTCTTCCAAATGTTCTCAAAAAGAGGATGATTCTGTAAATCTGACTTTTTT